TCCCCACTCTGTTACTGAGGACACCCCTTCTTTACTGTGTGAACCTGAACTTGTTTAGATCTCCGTTAGGAGAGTACATCACTTTGTACAACTCTGCATCTTTATGCAACAAAGAACTTAAAACAAATTTCCCCTATCTTTTAATATCTGCAGTTAAGAAATTTAAATGCCAGTCGAGACAGCACCTAATTTTTAATTGCATTTATTTTATTTTAATGTGATTTTTACAACTTCTTGTAAGTGTTTGAGGAGAAAAAAAAATTGAACAAATATTTTACTGAACCTCTCTTGGTAGGTTTTGCAAAGTGCGTATTTCCTGCAGTCTGAGAAATCTTTTACACTACATGATGCTGTGGTACTTAGCCTTTACTGTGTCCATAATGTGGGTAACATCCCCAGATGATTACTCTTAGTGGAAAAGCAAGAACTTCAGAACTTCCACTGTGCCCCCGAGTGAAAAAACATTTTCAGTGAAATTTGAAATAACAGTATTTTGTGGGTGACAAATTAATTTGAGTGGTGTGATGTGTGAACTACAGTACAGTCACAGTTCTTAAAGTAACTGATGTCATCCTCAGGGAGTCAGACATTATCTATATACAGTAGCTGTGATTTTTATTCCCAGATCAGAGCACATTCATTCATTCTGAAACAATGCAGTTCAGTCTGTTTGTTTTTGTATCTTTGGTGTTAGTGGAGCTGTCAGATACTGAAGTTGTGCCCTCATGCAGGCTCAGAGAAGAATTTGACTTGTATGGGCTGTATAAAGAAGGGGATATCGTTTTGGGTGGGATATTTGAAATTAACTTTAAAACAGTGTATCCTGAACTGTCTTTTACTGCTAAGCCTGAGCAATTGAGCTGTGAGCGGTGAGTGAATATATTCTACTGCTCCATGGTACAAATGTTGTGAAAAAATAAGCATTGCCTGAAACATTAGAATATTTATTACGTTATAAGCTAATGCTAATAATGCTTGCACAGACAAGTTCTGCAGGATTTAAATAATATAGATAAATAATTCAGAGATATTTTAAAAGTCAACAGTTATAGTTCCTGTTGTGCAAGTATTGTATATTCATGGAAAGAGATAAACATTGCTGTAACTCTTTTTTGGAATTATTTTTCATATTCTTATTTTAAGTGTTTAATTATATCTTAATTTTATTTTGTCTTCTAAACAACATGGGATATGAGGACAAAAAATGAGTGTGATTTATGTTTTGTTTCATGAAGACAGACTTGTGTCTTGTTTTATTTCAGTAAATATTATGTCCTCCTTCAGTTTTCATTTTACAGGATTTCAGGAGGCACAGAGCATGGCTTTTGCTATTGAGGAAATAAACAGAGACCCTGCTCTTCTCCCTAACATCACACTGGGATACAGGCTGTATGACAATTGTGTGAACCTGGCAGTGGCTCTGAGAGCAGCAACAGCTCTGATCAGCGGAGAGGATGATTCTGTCACTGACTACAGCTGTACAGGGACTCCCCCTGTCTTAGCCATTGTTGGGGA